CTAACCTTAGGAGAACAGTGGGGAACACACGGTCTGGGGAACATAGGGAGCGGGGAACATATGGACTGGGGAACATAGGGACTGGGGAACATAGGGACCGGGGAACATAGGGACTGGGGAACATAGGGACCGGGGAACATAGGGACTGGGGAACATAGGGACTGGGGAACATATGGACTGGGGAACATAGGGACTGGGGAACATAGGGACCGGGGAACATAGGGACTGGGGAACATAGGGACTGGGGAACATAGAGACTGGGGAACATAGGGACTGGGGAACATAGGGACCGGGGAACATAGGGACTGGGGAACAAAGGGACCGGGGGACATAGGGACTGGGGAACATAGGGACTGGGGAACATAGGGACTGGGGAACATAGGGACCGGGAAACATAGGGAGCGCGGAACATAGGGACCGGGGAACATAGAGACTGGGGAACATAGGGACTGGGGAACATAGGGACTGGGGAACATAGGGACTGGGGAACATAGGGACTGGGGAACATATGGACTGGGGAACATAGGGACTGGGGAACATAGAGACTGGGGAACATAGGGACTGGGGAACATAGGGACTGGGGAACATAGGGACTGGGGAACATAGGGACTGGGGAACATATGGACCGGGGAACATAGGGACCGGGGAACATATGGATTGGGGAACATAGGGACTGGGGAATATAGGGATCGGGGAACATATGGACTGGGGAACATAGGGACTGGGGAACATATGGACTGGGGAACATAGAGACTGGGGAACATAGGGACTGGGGAACATAGGGACTGGGGAACATAGGGACTGGGGAACATAGGGACTGGGGAACATATGGACCGGGGGACATAGGGACCGGGGAACATATGGATTGGGGAACATAGGGACTGGGGAATATAGGGACCGGGGAACATATGGACTGGGGAACATAGGGACTGGGGAACATAGGGACTGGGGAACATAGGGTCTGGGGAACATAGGCACTAAGAAACATCGGGTTGGCCCTATTTGAGCACTGGCGGATCCAAGAGGCTCATTGGGGCATGCCCCCCCCCCAAAAAAAAAATATCGTTGTAATAAATAATTAATCATTTTAATAAACAAATTAAACCAGAGATGGACACCGTTCTAAAAATGCCATTGTTGTCTAATCACCTCTTTTCTCTTCACAGAAAGAATGAAATAACAGAGAAGGAGAAGAGTGCCCCCATAGTCTATAATGAGGTCCAGCAACCCACCCCCTCCCTCCCCCCGTCCGGCCAAACGATCTCCTTCATTTTTATGGCGTATTTGAAAGGCGGGATATCCAAACAAAAAAATGACTATGCGGCAATGATCGTGACTGTTAAAGTACCAGTAAATAATACCGACGACCTTAGAAACGTGAACTCGTCATTAACTTGCCGTACCAGGAATGATTCATAACCATTATCTTTGTGCCCGGTGAAGGACTGTTTTTTTCTAATGCAAATGTAAGACAAGCGTATTTGCGGCGCCAAACATAATCCACTGTGGGTTTACATTACAGAAGTCCTGGCTAATGTGCATGCTAAAAGCGAATTGCAAAGTCGAAAATTAATTGTAATTGCCAAAAAAAGAACACGTTTTTGAGTGTCAAAAGTAGCGGTTAGCTTCGAGGATATTTTGTCTTTATTTTGGATAGGGGTTAATTTATGGTTACAACTTTTGATGCATATTTTTTATCTTGATCTACAATCGGCCCCTGTTCAAGAGACATATACGTATAAACACACAGACTTGTTGCCTTGGCACTGCGGAATATATTTGACCAGGGGCTACCAGCACATCTCGAATTGTCCTCGATCTCACAACCCATTATGTATATTTCCGCGTGTACATACCCTGGGGCAAGGACATTCTTTCAGTCTTTTACCTGTCTCCAACTGTCTCATAAACAAGGCATTTTTAGAGCGACAGTGAATACCAACAAATGCGTTGATGCAAAACCAATAGCATACAAGTCATCAGAAAGCCCTCAGAGCTGAATTTCTGGCTGATGCAGCACAGGTCATAGCAGTTGCACAATTTTAGTATCAAAACATTTTATTTGCTTAGGAAACGACACAACCACGAATGTGCCTAGATCATCCTGTATTAGATTGATAGAGGGGTTGTGTATTAAAGCAGATACAATGGTAAAACCTCGGTTTTTTTCGTTTCATGCCATTCTTAATATCATTTACTAAAGGTAAGCTGTTTTAATGACAAGGGTTATATAATGGGGATCCCTGGGTATGGACGTCTAGATATCTCCAATTTTGTATAAAAGAAGCAAATCCGTAAGTCATCTGTTTCTTTTAAAAGTTAACATTTCCATTGGGGGAAATTCAGATCATAAACCATCGTAACCTAGATTCGAGGTAAGGCTGTGGCTTACTGACCAATCTAAGTACCTTTGACAAAGCTCCATTAATCATGAACACGTAGGAGGAATGACTGCAGAAAACACATTGCACGCAATGGATATCGTATGTTATTGGCAACGACTGTTTCGTGCATTGTCTCCCTTGTTACATTGGTGATGATCGAAATCGATCTCAGAAAGAAGTATAGAGTTGCAATGGTGGGTTACTATGGTAACGTGTTTTATATGCAAAAAAAGGGGGAAAAAACCGACGTGTGGTATCATAATGAGGTATTGAATGCTTAGAAATAATTTATGCAAGGTGTACAATTCGCCTTCAGATCACGCTACGGTATCACATAATTTCTAACATTTTGCCTTCTTGAAGTATAAGGTTTAGGCTGTATACCTTATAAAATGATTGATTTGTACAACTCATTTATTATCTCCAATTTATATAATGGCAATTACCTGTCTTCCTATCACAAATGACCAATTCAAGGCTGCCTTGTTTTAGAGTGTGTGCTTATAAATTATGCTATTTAATTAACCTATGGCTTACTTTCTATGATTAACTTTTGTTGGATTAATACTGTGGAAATAAATAAACCTGAAACCTGAAACCTGAAACCTATTTACTTAACCTAAACAAAGATATCGGTACTGTACACAAGAGACATTATTTCTCAACAAATATAAGCAACACCTTCTGTTTAGGAGTTTTATACAAATCAAATTGAGGCTCTGCTAATGACAATTAATGTACAGATAGTAAAGTTTGTTAGCTCCGTGCCATGATATTGTGAATTGATTAACAAATTAAGTCATTTAAAACAATGATAGACAATTACTTTAAAAAATGGTCACCGGTATACTCCAACTTATCAAGTCTGGGATCAGTAAACATATACCATCAACATGATGAATGAAACATTAATCATCAATGGTAGGTCGACACGCGTTTATTTACAACAATGTCACTTTCTTAGTTCTTACTTGCATGCGAAATTTTAGATGACTCCATATATGCATATGGATCCGTCCGTATCGACTGCGCAATTTTAGAAAGGATGCGGATTTTGTGGGTACACGGCAAGGAATATCCGTCTTTTTTCGTGACTATAACCTTGGTTAGCAGAACGCTTTGAACCCAGCACATTACTACACTCATGACATGGTTAGAAACTACTCTATATCAGTGAAATGTTATTAAAAGAACATTAGAAAGAATACATTAAGCTTCACTGCAACACTTAACTGTGACTGCTGAATAAAAATATTCGATGAATGAATTGCGCGGATGTAACGTCCATCGATCTCGTGATCATAAATGGTGACTTATTTTTTCGGGAGGCATTTCTATATGGGACACAATTGCCCTCGAAATATTGCCAGGAATCATATTTCGATGACCCCTTTAGTTATTCTTGTTATTTTGTGGTTCAGATACATAATATAATTCGCACTGTAGAATTTCGCTGTATCTAATGTGAGCTCGTCTATATAAGCGAAACATCAAAAATGGACAGACAGCGACCTGAGTGACATCATAGCCGTATGATTTTGACTGCTGTTATGTATAAGGGCAACATTCAGAAACATGAGAGCATTTTTGTCAAGGCAACATGTCAGGTCAACATTTCACGGTTCCTTGGATAGAGAACTGATCAATGTCATAGCCCCGTCATGTCAAACAAAGTGTAGCTTGAATTTAATTACTAATTGAACCCACTGCTATGTGTACCTCTGAATTGTTAATTCTTGTCAGGGTTTGGATCATGCTCCGTCACGGGCCGCGTTTCTCTTGGGTCCCCCTGGACCACTCATTTGATATGCATGGTTACACTCAGCCTATCTTTTTACTGATAACTGGTTGTAACAGGTGAATTTATAATGCATACCACTGGAGATAGCGCCAGTGTAGCGGAACTAAGACCAAAGTAAAACAAAGAAAACGACAAAGGGAATTAACCCAAATGGCTAGCGTTGGTATTTGTCAGAGCAGCACGTTCTGGTAACTTTCAGTCTGCTAAGAAGACCCGCACAATGTTGTGCGTCTTTTGTAAGAGAACAACTTGACATTTAGATTTTCAATTTGTAATGGTCAATTTATTTTTGAATCGATAAAGAGTGACAGCCAACGTATATAGGCCAAGCCGGGCACGCTTTCACTTCTATCACGGAGGCCCCCTTCAATGGCGAAAGCATTGTGCTAGCTATTGTTCATAATAGCTGGAATAACGCTTTCGCCATTAAAAGGGGCCTCTTTGAGTGTACATTAATCACGTGACCCGATGCGTCTATGCATGGGCCTGCAAGATCAGAGTCACGCCATTTTTGTTAGTATCATACAGAAAGCAATGTGACCGATAAGAACACTTATGAATCGCAGTCACCATCAATTTTGTTAGTAGCACAAAAACATAAACCGTAATTTCCCAGCCCGTCACCAAGGTGCTTATTATTTTTCACTCAGACAAGTTAGAGATGAAAGAATCACTATACGAAGAGAATCCACTCCAAGAAAGAAACAAGATGAATGAGAAGGCCACGTGAAAATTATTCCTCTGCACAAAACAAAAACTATATAAGTGACGTTTTATTGCTATCACTAGTTCAAGTATTGCTAAAATGATAGTGTTACCTGTTTCTTATCCTGACCATGGGAATCATGTGTGCTGGAATGGTTCTGTTGCAGGCAAGAACGGAAGAGGTCATATTATTCAACAAGGGTTTCACAAATTGAAAAAAGAAGAAGCTTAGCACAATAAGAACATCGGTTTTTGCTTCCACTGAAAAACAAATTGCACCTGGAATTCTGTATAAGAGGAAGGTACTCGACTAATCAGAATCTTTCTCGTATAGATCATTACACTAAGAGTATATGTACAAATCCATAAATTGAAAAGAAAAAAAACCTGGCATGTCTACTTGAATTCATCGTGACTATATGTTATTACTTTACTGCTGGAACCCTCCTTAGCAAGACTGAATTAAAAAAGGATTGTACGTACAAATATTTCAACTAAAATCAGGTTTTGTTCACCGAAGTCATGTCGTCTTTGAGTTTTGAGGATATATCGCTGTCTATCATGCATCAATTATTGAGTTGGTTTCATGAAATTAAACAAGAAACTTTCAAATACAGCAAATATCAGGGTTTTTTTTGCAAAGCTACAAAGTTTACAGCAGTCCCTAAACAACGAGATGTACGTTTAGGGACTGCTGTAGACTTACGGTTTATAGCTTGGAAAAGAAAAACAAAATAAGTCAGAAAGACGTGTTAACGTACCTTCCTTGATCCCTGGTGCCCATGCCCCGGTCGACGGACCGTAGCCCTTCGTTTCTGTGACTTGGACATCCTTCCAGTTCAGATAATTTCCCGCGTAAATCTTTCCAACGACACAATTGCAACGGTGGGCTTAGTTTGAATTCGCTGTCACATTAAGTCCCAAGAGCAGCGCATCCTCTAGTAGAGGTCCCAGCACCCAATCACAACGATGCGGCAACCTGTTGGGTATGGAGGAAAAGCAGACAGTTTGCTGCTGGATGTGTTTGTGTTTAGAGAAATAAAATCGAGTTCAGCGGTTGCACTTCACTGCAACGAGTTCGCGCTGCCGTGTGATGACGGCTAGTCGTGAGATGTTGTCTTTCAAACCATGGAGGGATGTAGCATATCTTGACAGTAATGTCGAGCAGTCAAGCTACATACACAGAGCAGGTCTTACGCTTAAAATTGATGTTATTTCATTGTGCAGCCAGAAAAAGAATACAGCATGTCTTCGGCGTTTGAACAAACAGCCGTACCCGCACTTTGTAGTAGATCAACTGTAAATTGCCGGCGAGGAATTTTAATATTTTCCTGCATGTTGATTAATATGGCTCCTTATGGGTTGAATTAATTTACATCATTTTGCATGCATATAAAATGAGTCGAATTGTAAATTGTAACATGCATGCAATATTGTAGTATAACAATACTACAATACTTCAGGAAATATTTTCGTATAAGCAACAGAAATGATTATCTGAATGTGGCCCCCTTGTCTCGTACGTGAACCTGAAGGTTTCTAGGAATTTTGTAAATTAATTGTGGATACCTGTGGAAGCAGAGATAATTGCTCTTTATAAGTAATAGGCGGGGCGTAGAAGTGGCGCCGTAGTTGTTCACTGTTGAATTAATATTAGAAATGGTGGGTATAGGGGTTGCGTATGCGGCTCGGGTAAAAAAAAAAAAACTTTGCTTTTTGAATCACCATTCTCACCATTGGGGAATCAGGTTGGCGTAGCGGTACCTTCCTCGCCTTCCACCGCTGTGACCCGGGTTCGAATCCCACCTAGGTCAACATGTGGATTGGGTTTTCAGCCCCTATACCTGATTCCGTGGGTTTTCCTCGGAATATTCTTCTGGGTTTTTCCTCCCACCTCTAAAATTGTAATTTCTTCTCATTGTCTTCTCTCCGCAGGTTTCTTTAGGCTTGCGAGCTACAGTGCCTGTGGCGCTTTTGAGGAATTCTTGGTTTCATTACCAGAAATGTTTAATAATAATAATAATAATAATAATAAAATAAATAAATAAATAAATAAGTCTGCTGGTTATTTACTCCGGCAAACGGTTGGTAATGTGCATTCCACATCAGAATCTTATGATGTATAGAGGCTGGTCAGGTGAAATAACCACATAGAATAGTGATATAACCACTTAGTCGCATATACGTCGCATATACCAGCACCATTTCTAATGTAATTATCTTGAAGACCCATACGGATTGGAAGTGCAGGAGCCTTTTCAACCATAATGCACCGTCCGTGGTGATGGCAGCTTATTTGCTATAACTCGTGCCGTTCCGCCCTTCATTGATTGCATGCACTTGTGTTTGTTTTTTTATTCCTGATTTCTTACCCCCGTCAGACCCACCCACTCTCGATTACGATTATCCGTTTCTGCGTTTCAGAGAACTCATCTCACGTACAGCACTATCGATTCCCTTGCCGCAGAAAACACACGCACCAAAAAAACAAAACGCTTCAAGTACAGTTGCAATATCCTTGGCCCCAAACTACCGATTTTCCCCTCTCAGGAGCCTCGATACCGATGCATTATCTCAAGACATCGGAGCCACAACTAAAGACGCCGGCGATTTAATTAAAATAAAGCTAAAAGCCCTGAGCACACATGGGTTCTGTATTAATGTTCCCAGGAGGTCGGACCGGGGGCAACGCCGATATTTCCCCCATGAAAATGGCTGGAAGTGCTGGCTATAGATCAAGGTCCCATGGCCCTTGTTACAGATATTTACCATCGGGTGATGTCTTGGGTTCTGAGGCCATTTTGTACTGCATTTTGGAAATCCCTGTGGAAATTAATGAGCAAAATGAGTGAATGCATGTTGCATAATGTTCTTAGAAAGGAGGAGGCTTTAGAAAATAGCTAACATAAAGCGATAAAATCACATTTGAATGAGTCATGATCGAGTCAACGTGATATAGCTTTTACATTATGTATGTTGATTTATTTTATTTTTTTCCTGTGTAGAATTACCAACTTGGGCATCTCATGAAATGATTATAATTGCGAAAAATCGGATCCCTGCATAACGTGAAGCACTAAAGTTGCTCTCAGAATTTAAAGTCAGAAGAACCACATTTTTTTCCGCCGAGGATACTTACTTCCCGACAATGTCAAGGTTGTGTTTTACGTAAGCATTCCCGCTCAACGTGTCCTATCGACTAACTAATCCCCGAATCCTCGCAGCATTTCCACTAATAAAGCCTCATCATTGACCTGCTGGGGCGGCTAATCAATTATTGCTGTCAAATATAGACCCGCTGGTGTTTCCACTAGCTGCTCATTAAGCCTTTGTTTCTGTGAGACGCGGGATGTTGCAATCGATTACAGGAGTGAGAATAGTGATGGCAAAAGACATTTGTTGGGAGCCCCCCCCCCCCCCGGCAGAATGAATGATGAATTATCCCTGCTCGAACACTACCCCCAGGTCTCCTTGCATTCCTTCATGTAGTGGAGACAGTGCTGGGCGGGGGTAATGGTGCATCCGAATGGGCGGGTAAATTGACTATTAATAATACAAACACCACTGAAAATAGCTATTGAAACAAACTATTCCATCGTGATCATCCAACTACGAAGCGGCCCACATTTGAACTAGCAACACATCTTATATGTAAAAGTTACGATTAAAAAATGTTCAGTTATTTAATTTATTACATTTCTTTACCCATTGTATACCCAAACAGTGAAAACTGGTTTCCACTGGGGCGCTGCATACATATCAAACTATAAAATGAAGTTAATTTAAAGCAAACTTAAATTCAAAAGGAAAAAGTGCATCAATACTTTGGGAATGTTTACACGATAACCAAAAATAGCCGTCATTAACGCTCACTAACTGCGCCCTCGACGCAACACACAAAAAATGTGTAGGACGCTCACGTCATACTAAACATGGAGGACACATACATCATAAGTTTCTGTCAATATGTCCAACTCTCTCGATAGGTGAATAAATTATTTCTCTCGATCGACACTTTCAACTGCGCAGGCGTTCAGTTTAAGCCTCCGGAATTTTCGTCCTAGTCGGGCTAAAAACATCTGGCGTGAATTAATCATTTGGATAAGGACCAGGTATTGAATACAAATTGAGTACATGAAAGTCAATTGAGCTTAATTATTCTTTCTGTGGATAGTCGACTGTTACACGTTTTAACACGCCAATTGAATTCAATTACTTCAATTAAGAACAAAACTCAGAATATTTCGATACCCAACAGGACTGTTTCATTGAAAGATACGGCGACAAATTGAAACTCGGTCGTTTACTCTCGATACCAGTAGATGAAAATAATCCAATTGACACAGATTCCTTTTTATCTCTCTAAAAAAAATTGAACACAACCGAATTTCTACAGCAATCCCAAAGAGCGAAAAGTGAAATCATGCATATTCAAGTGATTATTTTGCCCTCCCTCCCTGCATATTCTGACCGTACCAAGATAGCATGAATGAATTATTTGCTCCAAATAACAGGGGAAACATAATCGTCAAAAAACAATACGATAAAAACATTTGGATGAGAGAAGTCTATTGGTAGTTTTATTATTTTATGAATCAGCCCCCCCCCCAAAAAAAAACCCCACTTTAAGGCAATGTACAACATTTAAAAACTTTAAAAAAAAACTACCAATTTATTATGAAATACCTTACTGGACTGTTTGTGAATGACAGTCTTAAAGGGAATATACATCATTGCCTTTTGCTGTCATTTTCAGAAATGAACTATTTGAGGGGTAAGTATAATAGATCAAATATTGTTACACTGACAGCGTTTGAAGTTTTGTGTTCGAAAATGCTGGAAAAACCAAGAAAAACAAAACTGTTCAAGTAGTCTGGTTCCCTGACTCCACTAAATATAAAATGGATCAATTTACAGATGCCGGAAAATTGTACGGTAAGGGTACCAGTCTAGTTGGCCTGCACCTGTTCATGAACATGTAACCAATAGCAAACAAAATTTGGACTGAATTAATGGTAAATTTGGAGCAGTAGTTGAAAAATAGTTAGGTTTTTCCAACGGTGGTCGGCCGACCACCGCTGGAAATTTGTACAAAAATACCATTTTCTTGAAAATGACTTCACACCAGGTGCCATAATTGTACAGGATGCTTTAGACTGTCATTTACCAACATCCTATTAAGGTATTTCATAAAAGCTTGGTAGTTTTATTTTTCGATGTTTGCAAATGTTGTATATTCCCTTTAAGCATCCTGTAAAATCATGGCAAATGGTGTACTAACATTTTCAGGAAAGGTGCAATTTTTGGATCAATTTCCAACGATGGTCGGCCGACCATCGTTGGCGAAATGGTGCTGAATGTGCTGAACGAAAGATACTGGTCCAATAATCGTTTGGAACTGCTCATGCATGCGGGCGTCAAGAGTACTGCCGGTATTTGGTATGGGTTTAAAATAAGTAATGCTACACTAATTATTCTCAACCTTGTACATGTATTCTCTCAACCCGACACGGTGGTAATAACTTGCATTCAGTGGTCACGTCATCCATAGAAGATATGGATATTCAGTCAAAATGTGCGTATGGTTGTCAAGGACGAGTGTCATTTTAATTGCATTAAAATGCACCGCCCTCACTATCATTACAAAATCAGCGAAGCGGGGATAACGAAGAAAGGAACTCACTGCCGCCACTTTACCATTTTGATTTACATAAATGAAACTGAAGAAGACAATCAAACAATAAATTGAGAAGCCATATGTTTAATAACGAGCGGGGAGACTTTGGCATAGAATTTAAATTCAATCAAAATTCTGAAATCTTCTTCTCAGCTTGTCACCCACCAGAAACAAATAAACATACACCCCAACAGCTTGGCAAACAACCAACAAACAAATAAATAACCTTATGGCCTTAATTCAAAATTGAAGCGAAAGGTTACTCTCAAATCGAGCATAGTAAACCGACTTTTTCTCAAAGA